TGGCAGTCAGAAGGCAGACCAGGAGATTTCGGTTAGTTTTCCTTGGTTGTCAGTGAGTGGCCCTGTCACTGCTCTGTTGTCTGTTTGGGCATCATGGTGAGTTTGAAGCTACTGAAGAATGAGCCTCCGTGAACAGTGTGCATGGACCAAGTACCGCCAAAGACGTTTTCAAAGAAGTTGGGAGCATGCTAATTCAGTGCACCCTGAAGTGGAATCTGCTAAGACGTGTCACAGATTGTGGTGGGAAAGCATATGGCCCAGAAAAGGACTTGGTCGGACAGATTCACAAAGCTTTTAATTTTTTTTTTTTTTTCAGACAGAGTCTCGCTTTGTTGCCCAGGCTAGAGTGAGTGCCGTGGCATCAGCCTAGCTCACAGCAACCTCAAACTCCTGGACTCAAGCGATCCTCCTGCCTCAGCCTCCCGAGTAGCTGGGACTACAGGCGTGCGCCACCATGCCCGGCTAAGTTTTTCTATATATGTTTAGTTGGCCAATTAATTTCTTTCTATTTATAGTAGAGACGGGGTCTCGCTCTTGCTCAGGCTGGTTTCGAACTCCCAACCTCGAGCAATCTGCCCGCCTCGGCCTCCCAGAGTACTAGGATTACAGGCGTGAGCCACCGCGCCCGGCCTCACAAAGCTTTTTTAAAATGTAAGGTGCTTAGAGCCCACAGTTACTCATTCTCTTACTTGTTGGCAAGTACTCTGTGGTAAATATTTGAATCTGTCTTGCCTTGCCGGACCAGTAGTGTCAACAGTGAGCTTCGTTCGATCTCATGGACTTAACTATCGTCAATTCTATGAATTTTTTTCAGAAACAGAAGATGAATATATTGAGTTGCCCTGCTGCGCAAGCAGTTTGATGGCTTGGCGGTGGCTGCAGTTCCATGGCTTTTAAAAATCCAACACTGAAAATGAAAAGTTTCAGAGTGAGAAAAGCCATTCTTAACCAGCATCATCAAAACACTGAATGACTTTGGAAATTAGCTTTTGCTGATCACGTGATGGTGTTCTTTATGAATTCATCGTAAAATTGCAAGGCAAAACAAACAGTGACTTGCAAAACTCACACCGTGGGAAATCACGTTGGCCACAGATACCGTTGGCGTCGCAAGCTGCTTCGTGCAGGTTCCTTACTGTCCGAAGGTGAAGGCCGAGGCCGGGCCTCCACTCGCCCATGGTGTGCCACGGCTCGCCCCCCGGGCGGGGACTTCCCAGCGCCGGGCTTTGCGCTTTGACGCAGGCAGGAGGGGGATCTCTGTGTTTCAAAGTCCACGTAAGTGTGTTGAGGACCCTCCCAGCCAGCAGCCGACAGCGACTGGCCTGCTGGTCCCCGGCCGCAGTCTGGGAGTCCCCAAGACCACCCCCGCTGCTGTGCTTTGCCAGGGGGACCGGCGGGGACTGGCGGGGCAGCGCACTCAGGGTCACGGTACATACCACGATCAGCATTTGCAACAGTCACGGGCAGGGCTCAGGAGAGGCCAGGCGGGGCTCGCGGGTGTCCTGTCCTCGTGGTGTCATGGACAGTGCCCGGTGCTCGCGGCATTGTGTGCGGGCCGGCGTGGAGTGCCGCTTGCCAGCGGCGCCCACCTGAGCCTTGGTGCGCAGGTCTGGTCAGAGGCTGGTCTCGTCGCCGTGGCCGGCCACCTGTGTGGCTGCCCTTCCTCACGCAGCCTCGGGCCCCTGCAGAAGTCAGGCTGATGCCCCGTGGCCTGAGGCCCCTGTGTAAGTGACACTGTTAGCATAGCCGCCTGGCATGGCCAAAGGCCTCAGCTGACCTCCCAGGAGCAGGCTGAGGGCCCTTTGGGGGGCAGTGTGGGGGCAGCCCAGGCCTGCTGAGCCGTCCCTTCGCTGTGGACGAGTGACAGAAAGGAGGCGAGAGGAGAATCTAGCCTAGCGCCGTATCTGCCGGCACAGCACTGTAAGTGCCGGCGTGGCGCCGTGACTACTAGCTTAGTGCCATGACTGCAGGTGTGGTGCCATGACTACTAGCCTAGCACCGTGACTGCCGGCGTGGCACTGTGACTACCAGCTTAGTGCCATGACTGCCGGCGTGGCACCATGACTGCTAGCCTAGCGCCATGACTGCTGGCATGGCACCATGACTGCTAGCCCAGTGCTGTGACTACTGGTGTGGCACTATGACTACTACCCTAGCGTCCTAACTGCCGGCGTGGCGCGTGGCTATTAGCCAAGCACCGTGACTGCTGGCCTAGTGCTGTGACTACTAGCCTAGTGCTGTGACTACTAGCCTAGTGCTGTGACTACAGGCCTAGCGCCATGACTACAAGCCTAGCGCCGTGACTACAGGCCTAGCGCCGTGACTACAGGCCTAGCGCCGTGACTGCAGGCCTAGCGCCGTGACTGCTGGCCTAGCGCCGTGACTACAGGCCTAGCGCCGTGACTGCTGGCCTAGCGCCGTGACTGCTGGCCTAGCGCCGTGACTGCTGGCCTAGCGCCGTGACTACTAGCCTAGCGCCGTGACTACAGGCCTAGCGCCGTGACTACTAGCCTAGCGCCGTGACTGCTGGCCTAGCGCCGTGACTACAGGCCTAGCGCCGTGACTACTGGCCTAGCGCCGTGGCTACAGGCCTAGCGCCGTGGCTACTGGCCTAGCGCCGTGACTGCAGGCCTAGCGCCGTGACTGCTGGCCTAGCGCCGTGACTGCTGGCCTAGCGCCGTGACTGCTGGCCTAGCGCCGTGA